TAAGCCTGTGCCTTAGTACTCCTAGCAGAACAGGTGGAGAGATTCCTGCCGCCTTCAGTCAGGCTTGCTCTGGCCCCTGGGAGAAACTGGGATGTCCCTCCAGATGTGGAAGGGCAGAGCTGAGTATTTCCATTCCTGATCTTCACCCCAAAAGCTGAGCAGTCATTTTCTTAAGTGATGTCCCCAAAGTCACCACCACTGCAACCTTCAGCTTCTCCTTACAGTGTCCCCATGTCTGAAGGGAAAGCAGACAACCTGTGAGGTACTGAGGTTTGCATATGCCTTTAACTCTCCAGCTCACACAACAATAAAAACCCCTCTGAGAAAAGGTGCAATCCTGGTTTTAGACCAAAGCTTTAGAAAAAGACTTATTTTAGTTTATGACTCCCTTTAGATGCTCCTTTTATTAGTTTCTGAGCTGATTATTTATGGAAAATAAAAGATTGAAAATAAGTTACATGAAGGCAAGAATAATGGATGCATAAAATTAAGGGTCCCAAGTATTTGGAAATTGCTCCCCAGTCAGTTTCCTGGGCTTCTGAAACCAGCTGAACCTGGAGGTCAGTGCCAGCAAGCCAAGAAATAGCACAAGTAATAAATGGCTCCTCTCAGAGTGAATTTACCTTCTGTGCTGAATCATAGCTGGATCCAGCTCATCTTCCACCACCACCCCAGCAGCCTGTGGGTACACTGCTGTGCTGTTTCACCCAGGACAAGCAGCCCAAGCCAGGCTTCAGGGCTTGCCTGCTCTCTGAGCACCAAGCACCAGCACAGCCCCTCCAGCTGGGGCAAGATGAGCAGAATAATCCCTGCAGAAAAATACAAGGATTGTCTTTCCGTTGCAGCTGTTCCAGCTTGCCCTAAAAGAGCCTGGGTTTAAGACTCAGCCAAAAACCCACCCCTAAGATGTGTGGAGCTGAGCACAGTGGTGATGCCCACAGGGATGGGGACAGGTGCAGAGCAGGGCTGCCAGCTCCCCAGGACAGAAATGCTGGAGGGTGTCACCACCAGCCTTCCCTCTGGCAGCTGGAGGGGGTCTTTGCAAGTGAATCCAGCGCAGGACGTGATCCCCATCCTGCTGTCCTGGCATCCCCTTTGCCTTTAACCCCACCCTTGTTCAATCTACTCTGGCTTTAGTCACATCCTCCTGGGGTCTTCCTGGCTGAGCAGAACATCCATCACTCCCCAGCCAGACTAATGCAGTCCCTGGTGTTGTGCCCTGGAGTCTGCTACTTTCACTTTGATTTCCCCCGTGACTCATCCATTTTATGCCACAGAGAGGGATTTACAGCCTATCTCACAGTGGTGATTTCCCCAAGGAAAAATGTCTAGAAACACAGAGGTGTTCCCCAAGCACTTCAGGTGGGTGACTGTAGATGCTACAAGACTCAGGCAGTGTGCTGCCAGCACCACAGCATTAGAAACCCGTTGCTCCTTTGGAAATTGGGAGCAGGGAGAGGCCATGGTATTGGGTAGTGCTTCATTCTCCCCACTGAGCCCCAGTGAAGCCACTGGGACTCACCCCATGGCTTGCAGCAGCAAAGCAGCACAGCACAGATGGGCACGGGGGCACTCAAGCCTGGGTCCCATCGTGGTTTATTCCTCCTGCAGGATTTGGGACCATTTTCTTCTCCCAGTTCTTGGTTAGTGCATTGTGTCTGTGTAAGGCTTTGCACACAGATCTGGAGGCTCAGCCATTTACTATTAATCATCAGAGTCACCACAGAAAAAAATACACATGCAGCTAGAGGGAAGAGAGCAGCCCTGCTGCTGAACTGAGCACCTTGATCAGGACTGATCTCACCAGGCATCAGGCCGTAGCTTTTGCAGCAATGCAGAGCGTGCAGCACAGACTTGAGCCAGCATTGCACAAAATGCCACTTTTCTGATGTGCTTTCCAAATTATTCATTTCAGCCTCTATAATAAACCTTCCAAAGAGCAGCGTGTGTTGAGTTTTATGAAGACCGCTGAATCCATCTTTCAAAATAGGTCCCAGGGAGGGACTCTTAGGGCTTGCACTGCATTGGCCACAACCCTTGCTCTGAATGTTTGCATTTGGGATGTGGCAGTCTTGAAGGGAGAGTGCTTGATCTCCCTAACAAGGAGGAGGCTTTTCTTAGGATCACTAGGGAAAAGGCTGTGCTGTCTGCTCGGGTCTCTGCTGGCATCTGCTGGAAAGGCAAACCAACACCAGTGCTGAAAGAGAAGCAGGGCTGGGGTAATCTCCTTTACCTGAGCTATCCCAGTTCTGGTGATTATTGCTGGTTATCACAGCCCATCAGGCTGTCACTGATGAACTCCTAGTTGTTAATACTTCATCAGTTATGCACAAAGTATTTGCTTTGAACTGAGCCTTCATCTGGAGATTAGGGAGAGAGTGGAAAATAATTACTTGAACGAAACCGATGATTTCAATGGCAAAACTGCCCCTGGCTTCAGTTGGAACTGTGCCTTCTGAAGTGCTTGTCCTTCATCAAGGCTTCATGTTTTCCTTCCAAGATATAACCTGTCTGTTCCATCGATGGCATGTGTATCACTGCCAAATAGCAGGGCAGCCTCACACTGAGGGTGAGCACACTGGGAAGTTGACAGGTGACCGAAGAGCCTAAGGACTAATTTTTAGGTTTGGCTTGGGCTAAGCTTGTCCCTGGTATCCAGGGCTGAACTGGTCATCAAATCCTGTGAACTGCTTTCTCTCTTATGCCAAGTAGCCTGCACTGAACCACTCATGCAGCCTGCAGCCTTTGGCCTGCTGTGTGTGTGTGTCTCTGCTGTTTGTGGTTTATTTAAAACACTTCAGGCTACAAACAGGGATATCTTTTCTCCTACAACAGACTCCTTACTGCATCAAGGACACCCCCCAGACATGCCCTCTGTACCACAGCCAGAGGCTGGAGTTAGGGAGCTGCAGGAACCCCAAGCAGTCTGCCTTTGCCTGCTGCCTGTCCAAAACAAGGCTGAGGAGCTTGCCCAGCTTTCCTCGTTTCTGTCCTCCCCATGGCATTATAGAGCACAGAAACTTACTTTAAGGACCATGGGTACAACACAGGAAGGAACAGGCCTTCTGGGAAGGCAGAACCTGATAGGTTTTCTTTGCCATCTCCTAGATCACAATTAAAATCTTGTATAGACAAAATAAGAGTCAATGAGTAGTGGGACAAAAGCTCTTGAAGCTGTTTGAACACGAGAGCACTCTCTGTGGCAAATCAGCACACCCACAACTCCCTCTAAGCACCTGCCAGCTACCTCAGTAAGAGTTAAACCTGATCTCAAACACTCACAAACACAACATGGCACTTCACACAAGCCATGCATTGCTGGGAAGGGCAGGTATGCAAGAAATTCCTGTCCTGCCCTTCTAACAAGTCACTTGCTGTCAAAGAGCTGCTGAGAAGAGCTGTGGCTTTTCTCTACAGCTTCTCTCTGAAACGGCACAAACACAACGCCCAGCTTGCAAAACCCAGGCCATGCAGGGCAGAGGATCAGTGCTGAGAAGTAATCAAGGGTCAAACCTTTTCCTCATGGGGTTCAGGAGGAACACAGAAGAAAATTCCACTAATGCTCGCCACATGAAAAATGGCTGTATTGAAATTCCACACACAATTAGGTCTCTGCCATTATTCACCTGGCATTTTTTTACAGGAGTTCTCAAGGCTGGGCTGAGAATGATGCCAGGCTGGGACACTTGGATCTCCTGCATAAAAGACAATTTATTTCTTGTCTCACTTACAAAATAATGGTCACATTCACTGGGGTCACAAACACTGGAGAAAGCTGGTAAAACAGTAACAGTGGATTTTTAAAGCTTGTGCAAGAAAAACACACTGGTCTTCCACACTGGACTCTGGCAAAGATACAGGAAGGCTCAATCTTAAGTATCTGGCTCAAAACACTAGTTTAAGGCTTTAGGCCTCTGGGCAAATATAAAATAAATTCAGCTGATTTAAGCCACAAAACCACACTTCCATTGTGCCATTTTCATTTTTTTCAATGGCAGAAAGAGCTGGTTTTAAAACACCCAACTCCAGCAGCAGATTGCTGCCATTAATACAGGAGTATCTGCTCTCTGCACAGAACACATTTTCACACACTTCATAGCACACAAAGAGCACATGGTATTCCTTCACCCCTCCCTTCAGCCTCTCTCACACGGCTCCTCTAATCCTGGTTAAACTCTCCTAGACGTGAGACACTTCTGAGGAGCTCAAGAAGAAAATGCACATCTTGTGCTCAAACCCAGTGATTCCACAGGCTACACCCACACTCTCTTCCTCTGTCTGCCTGGTAAACGCTCATGCCTCATATTTTGAGCTGACTGTACCTGCAAAAAAAAATGTTAAAAGCTGCTGCAACTGTGACAAGGGAAGTTTCATGTTGCTTTCCCTCCCATTACCACCCATCTTCCCTGTCACAACAATTACTGCTTTGTTATGCTTGGGAGTTTGGGTTAAAAAAAAAAAAAAAGTAATTTAAATATTCACTGTTTTAGCCTATCCTACAGTCTGTGACTTTCTGACTTATCAACGTTTCCACATACAATGGGTTAAAGCAACATTTTCCTGCCACGATGTGGTTTTCACAGTGTGGTGTTTTCAGAGTGTCTTCCAGCTGCCCAGCTTTTTTGGCACTTGACAAACAGCTCCACAGTCAGTCAGTCAGTCCGTTTGGCCTCTATTTATGTGTCTCTCAGCTCCACTGTGGCACTTTCTGCAGGACTCTGGAGCAAGCACTGCTTTGTTCTTGCAGTCAAGCTCTTGTGCTGGGCTTGGAGACTATCACCAGGGCGTCAGGCCTGCTGAAAAAGGGAAGGGGAAATTCCTTTCCCTGTGGAGCTCCCGCTGCTCCTAGACTGGGATGCCAAAGCAGAGCACACACGATGGAGAAGAAACCACACGGTGGCTCGCACAGTCTTGTCTCTCTGCTCTCCTAGGAGTTCAAGCACCGCGGCTCCCCGCATCTCCTCAGGGAGACCACCCCAAGCCTTCCATCCCGGATCCCTTCAGAGGCTGGTGTTGGCAGCGTCCTTCTTGCCCTGCAAGGCGGCCTCGGAGGCGGTGTCCGGGTGCCCGTCCCGGCAGAAGAGCACGGCGGGGTTCCTGCAGGCCCACATGGCCGCCTCTCCCCCGCTGGCAGGGCTGGAGGAGGCCGGGGCGCTGCCGGGGGGCCCGTCGTGCCGCTTCAGGTAGCGCTCCCGGTTGGTTCCACCTACCATTCTCTTCCCATAACTGTAAACATCAAGAGTTATCAGTCCTTGAGGCAGACACTGACTAGCAAACATGCTGTTAATTTCAGCAACTGCAGCTACTTACAAGGGGCTTAACTGAAAAGTAAAATCACAAAAAGAAAATTAGTTCTATCCTGGCTCAAACCAGGACAAATGGCTTATGTTTAGATAAGATTTCCATGTTCCTCTTGAGCTGGGGAAGTTTACATTTTGTTGAAATGATGAGTTTAGAATACAGAATTAATATTTTTTAAAAATCTCTAAAAGCAGAAAAAACAAAAGTGGAAACAGAAAAATGAGCCCCTATACAGAGGCAAATAAACTTCTGTTTTCAGTTAAATCTTCCAGCCCCCAAAATGGAAGTGATGCTTGATTTGATTAAAGGTAGTGTTATGGTCAGTTTATTCTGGTACCATTTTCCATGTCTCAGATATACCAATTATAACAGTTACTGGTGATGTTAGCCATGATGCCAAGGAAAGAAGTGTCAGAGGCATCAGCACTCACATTTCACTGATCAGGTTAAAGGGGCAGGTTTCTTTCCCTGTAAGCCAGGTCATAGTGATCTGGAGAACTAACAAGACTTCCAGTCTCCAGCCATTGCCAGCAATAAGCAAACCCACCAAGATGCTATTAAAGGCAATGGTGTTCTGCAACACACTGCTGAAATTTCCGTTGGATTATTCTGAAGTTTCAAACCCTTCTGATTTGAAATTTTGAAAGAAAAAAAATAATCTTTTCTCTTTCAAAGATCAGTTGGGTTGGGCTGCATTCACAGTGCCTGTTCTTAAAGGTTGTTATCCTAATTTTACATCCCATTCTCTCATACAGTGGCTAAGATGAGCACAATTTTATGCCTGCATAATTTCATCTCCAATTGCATCTACTGCCACAGCATAAATAGAAAGTGTCTCTTTGATTCACCTCCATTCCAGCCTCTCTTTTGATGCAAGACAAGAATAAAAGCCTTGCACAAAAGATTACAGGAGTTCTTTTATTAAGGAGGATACTTAAGTTTCTGTGTGTTGGAATAAGCTTGAATTTCAAACTTTTGGGCAGTTGATCTGGAGCACACTTAAATCGTAAGAGAAGATACACAGTGGTAGTCCTGCTCTCCCCGCACGGGCAGCGGGAGCTGCTCTCCTCCCGCTGCAGACACCTGCCCCTCCGTGGAGAATTTGAGGATAACGAATGGATAACGAAGGCTGCCAGCCAGCTGGGGGGCTGAAGAGCTTCCGAGCTTTCTCTGCTGGGCTTTTTGGGACTTGCCCGCCCCACGTCTTCCTCAGGAGTCCTGCTGGGGAGGCCTCATGACAAGGGAGATGCCCAGAAGCTGGGAACACGGGGAGGAGTTTGGTCCTGCGTGCGGCAGGTCTGCTCCTGCATGTCAGCGCTTGCAGCCCTGGAGCAGGGGCTGTGCGGGATTTACCCGGGGGTCAGAGGAAAGCTGGGAGCTACAGCGCCAGGAAACAGCTTGGAAAACCTCTGCTGGCAGCACAGCTTCTCTCTGAATGAGAGGATTTGTGTTTCCTCCCGTTCCGAAGCTGTAATTTTCAAGAAATTCCTCCCAGGCTTTTCCGTGCCAGCCTTTCCCAAGCTCTCAGGTGTGGTTTGCTCCCGTCTGCTAGCAGCCATGAGCTACTGTGCCACGACCATTCTCAGGTCTCATTTTAACAAGGCACACGCCCACAAGTGCCTTCAATGAATGCACACTGTTTTGCCCAGAAACACAGTGGAAATGACCAGCCTCAAGTGGTCTGAAGCTCTGCTTCTGCCACTGCAAATGCTTGCCTACAGACCAGGGCTTGTTTTTGTCACCAGCAACCCCTCCCTTGAGGGGCTCCAGCAAAGCAGATACTGGCTGCACCTCGCTGAGCAACCGTCCTGGGCTGAGGCAAAATCATCAGTAAATAATTCTACAAGCAAAGGTCATAGTGGCTCAGACCTTTGAATACAGCTGCTCCTGTTGAAAGTTAACCACAGGGTGTTTGCAGCCAACAGGCAAAGATAAGCAGGGGAGGAAGGTTTAGGGGAGCAGCAGAGCATGGACACATAGTGGGGACTGCAAGTTCTGAGCAAACACGTGTATCCAGCCCCAGGGCACAGGAGGCCTCTGGCAGGGGTGAGGAAGAAGGTATCTGGATGGGCCTGATCAGGGCAGGCTGGGGAAGCTGGGCCATGAGACAGAGCAGGGTGGCTGGCTGAGTGGGAGCCACGGAGGGAGGGCAGGCAATTCAAACCAACAGCCCTGAGACACTTGGCAGAGTCCTGGAAATGAGCTCCAGGAGGGGAAAATGAGGAGAAAGGTAGTATCTTCAGCTGGCATTTAATTGGCTTTGAAATTGGTAGTTTGCAGAAGGCACATAAATTTGAAGACAGCCCTCCAAGGCCAGCTCCAATTTCTGCGAATAATTATTGAAAAGAAAGAAGAGAAAGATGATGGGTTCTCAGAGCAGCCCGTTACATGCTGATCAAATTGCACCTGATACGCTAATCACAAGAGGGGAACGCTGCCTGTTCTGAACCTCGGCAGATGCCACCACACCACCAAAGGCTGGTGCTGGTGGTTCCTGTTGCTCTGGCATACCGCGGAGAGGCAGAGCAGGACTGTGTGTGCAGGAGAAGAAAAGCACCAGCAGAGTTTGCCACTGCCCGTGTGGCTCAGGTCACCTGAAGAAGAAGCCGTATTTCAGCGGGTCCTCCTCCTCGACAGTGAAGGTGGCTGTGCCGGTGTAAAAGGCTTCACCCGAGACTTCCACCACCACAGCACTGTAGTCCCCAAACTTGGCCTCCTGCCAGAGAGATTAGGATCAGGAGAGAGGTGACAACCTCTCCCAACCCCATGAAATGCCAGGGACATTATGCAGAGACTGAGCACTCTGTCCTGCCCAGGCACATCCCTACATGTGCAGCAGCCCTGTTACCACCTCCCCTTGCCTGCCTGAGCTCCGCACCTGCACAACTGCTGCTGCCCCTGCTCTGAGCCCACCATTCCCTGCCCTGGAGCAGCCTAGGTTTGCCCCAGAAGAGGCAAACAAGCTGCCAAGGTGTCAGGGATCAAGAGCTCCCTGAGGCAATGTCCAAACCTTCAAACCCAGATGCTGCCAGATGCCACGGAGCCAGAGCTGGGCCTGGAGGAGCAGATGGACACATCCAGCTTCTGTGTCTCTGATCAGACTGTAAGAAGGGAACTAAAGGGGACTAAACCCATGAACCCACCCTGAGCTGCTAGTGAGAACGGACCAGACTGACTTGTCTACATCAGCCTCAGAGATGTGTCTAAGCCCAGAGCTTTTCTGATGGCTGAGAGAGAACTTGTCGGGAAGCCATGCAGTGAAACAACCTCTTAACTGTTCCTTGCTTCCCAAATGAAAAATTCTGAAGCATGAGGCATGTGGGAGGGCAAAACCCCCAGGCACTTCCCTCCTTCCATCCGCCCCTCCCCAGGCACAGGAAAGCTTTTTTGCTTCTGAGCCAAGGCAATAGCCTTTTTCCAGCAATCCTCCAGACAGAGGGAATGTCCAGCACAAGCCACTTGCCTTCACTGCCTTCCCAGTGAACAAGGACCCTGTGGTACTGCTGCGGAAGGTTCTGGTCTGACCCAGCTGGATGAGCCCCTTGTGGTACTGCAGGGCGATGCGAGCTGTCACCCCTGAGCCTGTCGGGCTGCGGTCAACCTATGTCCAGGGGAGAAGAGGAAACAGCTATTTTGGGGTTGGAAAAACAATCTTGCACCCTCAGTTCTCTTTGTCACCTTTATGCTGTGCACAGGGGGAACAGCTGCCTAGCCCAGGGGTTTGAATAGAATCCGAGTACATCACAAATGAGAAAGACAAGATAAGCTGTTCTGGGGCACTTCTGGATTGTAACCAGCTTTTGCAAACTACTAGGGGTGAGGGACCTGCTAAATATTGAGGCTAGTTAGGGAGTGCTTGAAAGCTTCCTAATGTCACAGCAGAAAGACTGAGAGGGCCAAGGATCAGTACTGCCTAACTCTGAGATGGCTCCTCACCAGCCTAGTTTTTAAAACCTCAACAAATACGGCACTGAACAGCTTCCCAGGTGGTCTGTCCCAGTGCTCCACACTGCTCCCTGCTTGGAAGTCCAACCAAAAACTTCCCCTGCTATTTATGTGACACTTCACCCATGGCAGACAAGGATAAAAGTTTGCACCAGCAGCTGTTCCCTACATCAGGACTTCAAGGACACGCACTATGTTGGGATCCCACTTCACCCCTTAACTCCTGGGAAATTTCGAACTATGGGGCCTGGGTATGAACCTTTTTAAAATGCCCCCCATCTAAGATGTGCAGAAGTGTTTCTGTCATTAGGAGGTAAAACTGCACAAGGCCCAACTCCTCAGAGACATCGCTGCAGCAGAAGAAAAGGTTGCTGCCCACGAGGAGCAGAACCACCCCTTGTCTCTGCAGAGGAGGCAAGAAGGGAAAAAGGGGGTGCTCGTTTCTGTACCTGCTGATCTGCAAACACACAGATGTTGGTGGTGGGCTCCTCACTGAAGGCATCTTTCCCATCTGTCAGGATGGTGCCGTAGAGGAACGCCAGGTCTTCGCTCTCGGGGTGATGAAGCTTGAACTGGGAACAGCACAGAGAGGGTCACCAACACCCACAGCAGCTGGGCAGCCACAGGACACGCAGCACAGTTCCCTTGAGAGACCAGAGGAAGGGAAGAGGCCACACGGCTGCATTCCCACCTCTGCTTCTCCAGGAACAGAGACAGACACAGCAGCAGGGAAGCGAGCTCCTCCTCACGTCCTCGTGAGGCTGGAGGAGGGCTGAGAAATTCAACGTGGGGCTGGCAGGATGGGCCTCCCTCCCACCCTGAGTGTCTCAGGGGAACGAAGGGCCTGGTTCTGGTGCAGCCACCCCGAAGGGCAGACACTGGGTACCAGAGTTTCCCACCATACCTGCTCCTTCACTGCCTCGGTCACGGCGCTCGCTGCACCCACGAGGTCTCTGGTGTTGGAAGAGCAGACATCGAGGCCCAGCTGCTGGGCACTGAGGAAGGCATAGAAAGTGCCACCATAGCCAATGTCAACCACCACCTTCCCGTGGCCGGGGACGTCGATGGCCAAGTCTAAGCCGAGAAAGGGAGGGTGGTGAGAAGGAGAAACCCTGCTGAGCCCTGAGCCAGCAGGGAGAAGGGCCCCAGCAGCACACACATTTTGTCATCCCCGACGGCCCCATCCTGCCTCTGGGGGACATGGGAATTCAGGAGGGGTTTCCATGCCGCCACCCCCCCCACCCCCCCTCCAGAACCCGCTCGGTCCCCACCGGTGGCGGCGTCGAAGGCGGGCACGCTGTGGAAGCGGACGGGGTTGCCGCTGCGGTGACCGTCCCAGGGGACGAAGGCGGTGACGGGCCCGCAGGGGCAGCGCAGGCGGACGGGGGTCTCGGGGCTGCTGGGGTTCTC